TCATTTGATCAACCACCTCAGGACATAAGGCCACCTTCCACAAGCAGCATTTCCCCTCTCCATAGGCAAGGTTTCCAAATCTAATAAGTTTGTTAAATACTGTATAAGGCTTTAGAAGAGATGCAAAGAGTTCTACAAGGCAGGCTGTGTAATCCCTTAAGGACCATATTTGGTTAAGCCCAACCGTGAGTCTTTGCGACTGAAAAGCACCAGGGACTGGGAGCATGGGCTAAGGTGATCTAACTCCCACCGCTGGGTTCATATCACCTATCCATATTGATTTGATCCTGTGAGGATGGCAACTACAGAGACCAGATGATTCTTCTGGATGCCCTTCTAAGCACTGTCTAGTTTCTCCAAAGCTTATCTGTCTTGCTTTCCCTCCTTATCTGAGGTGGGACACGGCCTGTGGTAGGGACGGGACACACTCTCACTTTGATACCCACCTAATGACAGTAGTAGAGATTAAAAGAGGAAGGAACACATCAAATATCCTCAGGCTGGTCATGTTAACTAAAACATTAGGGAAATGGCTAGTGGAAATGTCTGTCCTGCACACTCAAGGGATGGTCCTTCAGTGCTAGAGGGTGAGTGCCAAAGGATGCTCCCATGTAGCCAACTCCTTTCTCTCAGCTTCACAGATGGGCGAGGGGTTTGGGGGAAAGATCATTCAGCCAGACAAGGAAGGAGAGAATTGTTTCAGACATGGGATTGCTTTCAAGCACTTGAGGCACAAGCCATCCCCAAGAACCCACATCCAAAGAGATTCTCAACTCCTTGGGGTGGGCTTTTGCAGACAGAAGAGTCACTGTGGACAACGTGCCTAGAGAAATATAATTTATAAGTCTCTGCAGTGATTTCTCCACCTCATCACGTCCATGAGCTCAAGCATCATCGATGAGTTTCTCACCATTCTCTTCCTCCTTTCTGTTGCCTTCCCCACCTCCACCTCCTTCCTCTTCTTCCTCCTCTGCTCCATCCGTGAAGACATCTTTCTGGCCATAACTCAGAGTGGTACGAGCCAGATCCACTTCAATAGGGAAGACATCTGCATCTCGCAGGACAGCGTAGCAGTCATCATAGTATTTGGAGAATGTGGAAACAAAGCGCTGGAGCTGGAAGACGATGTCTTGCACTGTGAGGAGGAAAGCCAGGATTACGGTGAATGGCAGACAGTACCCTTCCCTGTTGCACAGTTGGATGTGTGAAGCTCCCACCACATCTACCTTAAAACTAGTTGAATATTTGTATTAAGCAGTCTGGCTTATATCTCAAAAGCTACTATTTTCCAATGCCATAGGACAATCAACTGCCTGAATACAGAGATCCAAAGTACATATGTACTTGAAAATAAGATCTTCTACTAAAAAAATCAAGGGAAAGTGCTTCCAAACAACCTATGGCTGCAGAGGGAGGCATCCAAAATGGATCAGTTCAACCAGGCAGAATCAGCAAGTGTTTTTAGACCAGAATAAGATCGTCTGCTACACACAGAAATCCCAATACCCCAAGATGCAGAAATCTCGATACAAGGAAGCTCCAGTACCAAACGTTTCCTTTCAATCCAGCTCCAACATGTAAGATTAGGATGGGACACAAGATTTTGAATGTTCCCCTGATGCGCCTCTTTCTCCTTCCTCCAACACAAGTGTATCCTTTTCTCATACTACCCAACTTTGCTAAAGCTCTTTTTAAAAGAATCCCACACTATTGGGCCGGATCGCTGTCTTTTAGCTCCACCTAGGGGAGCTCCCTTCCCATGATACAAACACACTCTTCCAACTCAGGTCTTTCCTCAATCCTTCTGTCATTCGAGTTCTCATAATGTTCTAAACTCAGTAACTCAGTTTCCCATTGTTTCACTGCTTCCATTATTTTAGCCTAATGTTCTGTTCCCATTGCAGTAGGGAAAAGTAAGTACGTTTCAACAACGGCTGAAATATCACAAAGAGAGGCGTGACTCAGGACCCAGTTGCCTACCTGTAGCCCTCTTCCGTACCATCATGGTACTGCTGGATATTTGTACCAAAAAAAAAGGATGTTGGTTCACCAGCTACCCATCCCAGCACTGCAGCAATGGCTCCCAAATGGTTAAATAATTGTCAGCAGTCACTGATGGAATTCAACGGGAGGGGGAAATTGCCAATTCTGCTCCAAGTGAAAGTACAGACATGATTGAATGGCAGGGCGAATTTTCAGCTGTAGGGGACCTGGTTTCCCCCCTCCTGCAGGCCCAGTATGTTTAAAAAGCAGGTAAGAGTCTTTGTTGCAGTGGAATCTACAAGTTCCCTTTTGGGCCTAGTGGAAGGGCAACCCCACTCACCATGTTTCTGGTCCAGCAGCTCTATCTTCTCTAGCACATCTTTCCTCATCTTGGCAAAGCGTGTCCGTGCCTCCTGGCGGCAGCGCAGGATTAAGCGATACTCGTAATTTCCTGTGCTGACCCTGTAGAGAGGCTCCCCCAGCGCCTGGCAAAAGCATCATAATTACTACAGCAACTGCCCTGACCTGGATAGCTCAGGCAAGCCCGGTCTCGTCAGATCTCGGAAGCTAAGGAGGGCAAGTACTTGAAAGGGAGAACTCCAAGGGATACTAGGGCACAGACTGCAGAGGCAGGCAATAGTAAGCCACCTCTCTGAAACATCCAAGCCCCACTAGGGGTCACCAGAAGTCAGCCATGACTTCCAGGCATACACACTCACACAAAATATTCACACACAAAATTACTATAGCAACTGATAATAATTCTACAATGGCTTCACACATGGCTGCATTTTCCCCATGATGCAGCTCTGGAAACTACAGCTCCCCACATGATCAGTGATGCTGCACTGGTTGGCTGACAGCCAAATATTAAAAGCATGAACTCTGAAGAAGCTTCTGCTGAGGAACGAGCAGAGGCTTGGAAGCTTGAGGTCAGGGGCAACTAGAATTTCCGAAAGAGCTCTATCAGAAGGCCTGTCACATGGCAAAAGGGATCAAAACACAGAGGCCTGAGTACCACAAATCAGGAACGGATGTCAGCTCTTCCAGCCCATTTCAGGGAAACAAATGCTTACTCCATAATTTTAAAAGGATTGATGCATACAGTCAACTGCCATGTTGCTGCCATGTATGTTATGTTCATACTACCAAATAAAAACCTGTGCCTGAGACTCTGATCTCCACATTTTTCGTTCCCTTTTTTCCCATTCTCCTGACCAAATCCTGTTTTTAAAGAGAAAAGGAACCTGAAATTCACCTCCCTCCAGCCCTTTCCCAGGGGCCAAAAAGCTCCCAAGAGCAGGACTCCTCAAACAACACCTTTAAGCCTTTGTAATAGTGACTGTATGGTTTCCAGTCTAATTCTGAAGTGGGACCATGAGCTGGAGAATATGATCACTTTTCGAGAGAATGAAAAACCACAGGAAGTAGTTCTGCTTGACCACTAGATTGCACATTGTGTACCCAGGCTCTGTAAGGTGGTTGCCAAGTGACTAAGATGGGGCTTCAAGTGATCTAAATAAAACTTGGAATAGCCAATGTTTGTTGGATTTTACAGTGAGTCAGGGTACTGGAAGCTAGAATGTATGACTGCCATTTCTGTGTCATACAGGAAAGAACTGGCAAGTGTCACTGGACATGTGATGCAGAACTGGGGGTTGGGATAAAACGAGAGAATTCATAGCCCATTTTGCAGCAGATGTTAATAACTAGGGTAGTCTAGATTACTCAGATTTGGTTTGATGTTGTTCATATAATGTTGCTAGTTGCCTCTAGGGCCCCATAAAACTATGTCTGCAGAGCTACAACTTTTAAAATAAATATAAAACAAACCATATTATCAAGCAAACTAAACCACAGCACTTAAACTGTGTTCTCATTTTAGCTCTTACAGCAGGTTCTTTTGATGCATCTTTTCAATCAGGAAAAAAAGATGCATTTTATAAGGTGCCATGAATGGTAACAACTTGCACAACAATGCAAGATTTAAAAAAAAGTGCTGAAAATGGTGAGCCTGCATGCTGTTCACCCACCCTTACACTTAAGTCTGCAATGTTAGACACACTAATAAGCCTGCCTGTGAATGCTGGGAAGCAATGTTAGGAGAAGGCCTTGGCCTCTTTGACCTGCTGTTTGGCCATCCAGGGCAACTGGTTGTCCACTTTGTGAGAGGTGATGCTATAGCAGACAGGCCACTGGGCTGATCCAGCAGGCTCTTATGGGAATATATAGGAAGCAGCTGGGGAAACCAAAACCTCAGTACTTACAATACAGCTGTATTCCTCGTCATCCATCTCCTTCACCTTGAGACAGTAAGACTAACAAAGAATAAGAAATGCCCAACATTACAAGACCATCCTAGCACCCAAACAGACAGAGTAGAATGCAGAGGTGCATGCATTGCTCTAGATTAGTGTCCAGGCATCCCTTAATGTTTTTGCATTAGCTGCTTGTTGCATTTAAAAATTCAGGTAAACCAAACAGCACTCAGGTTTGGGCAGAAAAGTGGAACAGATACCTGTTAATAAACAAATAACTGCTATTCCAAGCACCATACAACATTAACAGCACGACAACTACAGCATGAAGCTATCTGAGATATAAAATTAAGATTAACTTGCCATTACCCCTTTGTATGCAAAGGCTTTGTTCAAAGCCAGGAAGAGCAAGAGGCTCATTACAATAACACTCAAAATGTGTATGTATGCAAGTAATGAGGGCTTGAGAAAGAAAGTTATATTCTGGAGAAATCAAGATCTTTAAAAAAAATCTCCATCATTGCATATATTATTAAAGGAATTGCATTAAAATGATGATATTAAATAAATAAGATAGCACTGGCTGGGAGCACATATGATGAGGTGAGACAGATGGAGGCCACAGGATAACAACCACAGACTAACATTAGCAAGTAGTAAACATTGCAGAAGGAAGGAAGGGGTACTGTAAAAGATACACCCCTAAGACAAAGTTGTCAAAAGGCAAGGAAATTAAACTAAGATCCAAATAAAAGGAAACATTCCTTAGTTTAGTTTAAATCAGCCTTTAAGTCCCAACATTTATGCTATTACAGCATGGCAAGCCCAAAGAAAGGTGAACTCTTATGTTGAAGAAAACCCTCCTGTGGCATTTTTTATCTGTAACACAAATATCCTGCCCCATTACACAGCACTTCTGGGCTGCATGGTCCACACCTAACATCTGGGGCACCACCACATCCCATCATTATGCTCCTGCTTTCCTTTTAATTTTTTTTAAATAGGAAGGTGAGTATTTCACAAAATAGATACCAAATCTACCACTATACCCCTTTTAGTGCTACTAAAAACATAATTTGAAACCAGTTATCTTCGCACAGTGAAAGCATTTGAGTATTTCTCACATATTCAGCAGAAAGAAGCAGTGCCCTACCTAACTCCTAACAATGAGCTATGAACACCACTGCAATCCTAACACACAAATAGTTCATTTAACAAGCAAGTATGCTGTTGTTCCAGTTTCCCTCTAGTGGCTTGGTTTATCTGGTAGTTGATAAGCACTGCAACATCCATGAAATGTACATTCACTTTTAACATTTCCCTGGACTATAATATCAGCAACTGGAGGTGAACGTACATTATCATTCTATCACTGATCTTTCTTTCTGCTCCTTGTTCACTTCCTAAAGAGTGCCTGCCGCCAGTCATTGTTTTGCAAGAGATGGATCAATTTCTTGAGTCTTTTAGTCATGACTATAAAATGCCTATAGTTGGATAAACTAAAAAAAACCCCATGCTTTGGATGTTTAAATCAAAGCAAACCACCCAAAAGAAAAATTTAAATCATCTTGCAAATAGAATGATTGAAACTAATTTCAGACTGTCAAATTTTCTAACAAACAATTTAACCTTGCTATCATTAAAAACAACAGAGAATCGCTCACCAAATACTCAAATTTGACATCCAAATACTTCTTGATGGTTAGTCGTGTATCAGGAATGGCTTTGTTAAGGTAAGTGTTCAAATCTGTCAGCATCTGTAAAGAAAAGATAGTGGTGAAAAAGGAAAAATAATGCAAAGCAGAGCAATTTAGTACTTACATAAGTAGAGCCGACTGGATCACACCACGGTCCATCTGGTGCAGCACGATGTTTCACAGTGCAGCCAACCAACAGGGCTTAGAGACCAAAGCCTTCCCCTGATTCTGCCTCCTGGCACTGGTATTCAGAGGTCTCCTGCCTCTGAAAACTGAAGTGCCTTTTACTCACCATGGCTAGTAGCTATTGATGGATGTATCCTCTGTGAATCCATCTAACTCCATTTTAAAGCCATCTATACTTGCGGCCACCACTATATCCACTGACAGTGAATTCTCCAGTTTAACTACTCATTGAATAAAGAAGTATTTCTTCTTGTCTGTGTCCCCAAGTCCTGCTATTATGGGACAGGGAGAAAAAGCTCTATCCGTTTACTTCTCTATCCTGTACATAATTCTGTAAACCTTTATCATGTCCCACCCCCTTAGCCATCTTTTTCTAAACTGCACAGTTCCACTCTTCAACCCTTTAATCACCTTGGTTGACCTCTTGCCCTATCTGAACTTCAGAACACAAGTTTAGTAATCTCAAAATAGGGTGTGACTGGTGGACATCTATATTTCTGATAATTCTTGGACCACAATTCAAATTTTAGATATTCAAACTGCATGGGTTGGATGACAGATACCGCTTTCTTAGTATATGGGTCTGATGCCACATTCGTGGGTGATATTGCAGGGGCTCTTGCTGACTGGTCCTCTTACAGTTCCATTCACCAATCCAAACACACATTTAATTAATGCTTCCATTTCCATATGCTCAGTCTGAGCTCGAGTCATTCCAGACCCATGAACTGAAATGACTTCTTCCCAACAAGAAATACCTATTTCCCCCTGTGGTTTGTTTATTTACCGGTTTGATGGTTTTCAGAAGGCGGATTCCAAACTTTTCAATGCTGCGATGCGCATCTGCAAATTTCACAAATGCTTCACTGGCAGCTGGCTGAGGCTCCCGCACGCCAATGACCGAAAAAACATCACCAAATGCTGAGCAGAAACAGCAAAGCATACAAATCAGAGCCTATAGCTGAAATCTTATGTATACTTTCAAGTGCTTTTAATTACTGCCTAGAAATCTTCCTTTGATTCACAAGATTCCCAGTTTAAACATTGCCAGACACCTCCAGTTAATATGGCAGACACTCCCCCACTTGCCTTACCTAGATACTAGCTAATATTGTCTTGCTGTTAGATTGAGATATAATCCTAGACTTTTAATACCTCTCATCATCATTTTCTACACTATCCCCCCTCCACTGAAAAGGCCACGAAAGCCTTGCCAACTTCACTGATGCCTTGTCAAGTTTCTTTTAAAGGTTTTACTATGTACATCAGAGCAGGCAAACATATGTGCCTTTTTGAAGGGGAGGGGGCTTCCCCTTCCCAGAGCAGCAGCAACAGAGAAGTGGGGTGAAGCTATCTTAACATGGCTGATCTTCACTTGAGAGCTGAGAAGGGGCACAGTGAAGGAAATCTGCATTGAGAAACTGACAAGGTCCTTCCCACACATATACACAAAATTCTGCTTAGGGAAGAGAGATTAAAATGTGAAAAAGCCCTTCCCAAGAGTGCAGAACTCAATGGACAAAAGGTTGGATCAAGGACTAAAAATGTACTTCTGACAGAAGACACAAAGGTGAAAAAAACAAAGAAAGTTAACAGTAGGAAATTTGAGATGCAGTTGTAAATGCACCTTCCTGCACCAATTGAGCCAAATTTCTAATGCAAACATGTTTAAAACTTTATTTCTTTCTTTCACAAATGCAGACCAACAGCAAAGGCGAGGTTCAAAAGCCCTTTTTTGTGAAAGACGTATTATATGTCTCTTGTTCAGAGGACAGTGTCAAATATTAGGGTAGAGAATGACCATCTGTTTACCTCTGTGAGTTTGAGACAGCTCAAAGAATGCTCTGAGAAGACTTTTTGTATTCTCCATCATGCCTAGATAGGATTAAAAACAAAGCACAACAATAATTCAGTGATGAAGCATCTACACGGGAGATTCTCTGGCTTTAGCATCAAATTAGATGCTGAGAGAAGAAACAAGGACAAAATACGGCTGTGGACATCACATCAATATGTTTCAATTGTATTAAAGCTGAAGCTCATGCTGGTTTCTCACTATTGCCTTAGCCTGTAATGCAGAAAAAAAAACAAGGGAAGCAACCTGAGCTGAAGACCTGCAAGCACAGTATTCTGAGGATCAGGTGTGCTCAAGCAGTACATCTAATCCATGAAGAAATTCTCACAGATATGAGTCCTGAGACACAAAATCTCTTCCTAGACTGCAGAGCAGAAGATGGAAAGAAGATGGATTTACCTTTGTAGAGCTCTGCAGTCCTCTCCAGTTCTTCCAGTCTTTTCACCAGCCCATCTAGAAGGGGGAGGAAAAGGGCAGAGGTTGATTCTTTTGATGAGTGACATCCACGAAGACAGGCAGTCCTACAAAATTACAGGCAAAATTCACTAGATAGGGTCTCAGTTGTCCACGCATCTTATGAAGGCACATTAAAGCTAAGGAGGGCAACAAGGACTCTGAAGGTAATCTTGAAATGGCAGATGCATATACTGTGCAGATAGGGGCAGCCTGACTACAATGGCAAAAACTGCACTATTCAATGAGAGCCCCTCAGAATTCCAATGGCCACCTCTGCACAGGTGTTGTACACACTGCTGCTGGGATTTCTACAACAGTGCAACAACAAGCATTAGGAGCCACCATCTTGCACAACCATCTGTTTGTAGCACAGTCTATAGGCAGCAACCAAAACCCTGAAAATTGTCATGACACTGATTGACAGCCACAGAATCAGCAGAGAAGAGACCTCCCACACATCAGATTAACCCAAGTACCCAAGAACAGAAGCCCAGCAACAAAGGAATATAAGAACATAAAGAGAAGCCAATGTTGGTCACACAGTGGCCAAAAATACCAGGTGCCACCAGGAGGTCCACCAGTGGGGCCAGGACACTAGAAGCCCTCCCACTGTTGCCCCCCCCCAACACCAAGAATACAGTGCATCACCAAGAATACAGTAAAATTTGTATTCAGATGCGTCAAGACATATCAGTAATCCTTTCAACAACCTTGTAACGCTTTCAGTCCCACAACATTATGAAAAAAGTAGCAATTCTATGCTGAAGACCAATTGGAGGAGAATGCACACTTTGTAGACGTAGACAGAGTCCTTGGAATTGCTGGGCTTGGAAGCCCAGAGCTCCTTCTTGCATGTCTGCTTACCATTGCAGAGGATGGCTCGGCTCAGCCCTAGAGCATCTGCTGTCCCTGAACTCATGTTCTCTACCAGGCGGTGTTTTACTTTCTTCAGCACTGTATTCCAGGAAAGATATAAGCAACACACAAAGAGGATCATTGCAACAACATGGAGCAAAATTGCTCAGGCTTCCGCTGTTCAGAATGAACCTAGCTCAGAGGAAAGCTGTAACTTGGCTGATAAGAAAAGAGAAGAGATTGGATTTATACCCCGCCCTTCACTCAGAGTAGTTTACGAACTCCTTTCCCTTCCCCTTCCCACAATAGATACCCTGTGAGGTAGGTGGGGCTGAGAGAGCTCTGAGAGAATTGGTCTTGAGAGAACAGCTTTGACAGAACTATGGCTTGCTCAAGGTCATCCAGCAGCTGCAAGTGGAGGAGTGAGGAATCAAACCCGGTTCTCCCAGATTAGAGTCCGCGTACTTAACCACTACACCAAAATGTCATAGAAACTGTGGAACAGAGGGTAAAGCCACTCTACTTACTGCATTAGCATGGGGGGGGGGGGGACGACCAGTATGACGTACCAATATCCAAGGTCTTGCCCTGCTTTGGGTCAGCCTGGAGTTTGTTGTAGTGAATCGTCACTTCTCCCTGGAACAGCAGAAACCAGAGCTATAATTCTGGAATTAAGAAAATGTACCTGCTTTTGCGGAGTGAGCAACAATGTATGCTTTGCACTCCAATAACCCGTTCCTCTCACCTTCACCACCTGTATCATTTTGGCCACTTCCACTTTGGTTTTCCCTTTGACCGACTTCCCATTCACACCTGTGATTTCATCCCCTGCTGCCAACGTTCCCTCCAGAGCTGCAGGCGTGTTATCAAACACCTAAGGAAGCCAACACATAATGGAAGGTCAAAGCAGGAAGGAAACAAGCAGCAACTAAATACATCTATGGGGCCAGGTCCTACCAGCTTCTTGCTTGATTCCTTTCACTGCCCTGCCTTTGCAGCTTTTGTCCTTCTGGGTGCTATAGTCCCTGGCACAGTCTTTTCATTAATCAAAAATGACACTTCCTCACTCTTTCATGAGCAGAAAAACTGGTGGGACCCCCATTCCACGGTGCTCAAACTGGGCTATGTGCAGTTAGCTTGACAGAGCCATCACTGAAGTTGATTAGAGCAGACAAGGGCCTACAGATAGGGGCTTTTTTGTATTTAGGTGAAAGGCTGTTACTGGTAGAGGTCCAGTGCAAACATGAATTCCAATCTGGCCTGGGTAGCCCAGGCAAGCCCGATCTTGTCAGATCTTGGAAGCTAAACAGGGCTGACCCTTGCAAGTATTTGAATGGGAGACCTCCAGAGAATCCCAGGGCTGGGAGGCCAAAGGCAGGCAATCAAGCCACTTCTCTGTGCCCAGTAGGAGTCACCAGAAGTTGCCATGACTTCCAGGCATGGGTGCGTGCACACACACGCGCACACACACACAAATGGAAAAATACCCAAAACAATGCCAGGTTCACTGTTATCTTGCCTGCAACAGCTACTTTTTCCTTCTCAAAGGGAAAATGCTCCTTTCCCATAAATACAAACCTGAACAATATAAAGGCAGGGACAGTACTGAGCTCCTCCACCTATGCTGATGCCAATCAGATTTTGACTGTCTTTCTTCAAGGTCAATGTCCCAGGTACAGTGGGAATACCCCTACAGTGAAACAGAGATACACGAACATATAACAATTGTTTCCAGCAACTGTTTCTAACATACATTTTTTAAATCACAAGAGTTATACATGTTAAAATCAATATTACGTAAGATGCTCATTAATTTGGCAACAAGGGTCACACGTCAAGGTGTAAAATTTCCAGAAGTTTTAAAGGCATAGAAAAAAACCTGGGGTTTTCCCAATTTTTTCCAGGGGGGAAAGGAAATTTTGGGAGAGGGGAAAAGGTCAACAGGACAACAGAAGGCATGCAACTGTTGAGAAGCAATGAAAGCCTCACATGCTCCCTTCATGAAGATTAGTTAACATTCTAGGTGCAGAAATGAATCTTGAATTTAAAAGCTGTATGTTTCTATGGCATGCCCAATTTGACTCTAAAAGCATTTCACTCATTCAGGAAAAAATGTTTCATAGGAGTTTTTTCTACTACTATTTTCAAGACAATAGGTAGACAGATTTCTCTCCTTCTAGCATCACTGTCTATTGTACTGAACCTAATTGGATAGGATGTCCCCTTGTGGACATTTAAAAAAATTAAAACTTTTATGATATTTTTAACATCTAAATCACACAATTATCTAAACAAAAGCTGGGGAAAGATCACACAAATGTTGAGGAGTTGATGTGAGAATTGAAGTTGAATTATGCTAGTATTTTCAAGGATGTATTTATCTACCAAGATACAGGAAAAAGCACCAAAAATATGAGATCAGGATACTGATGCAGTTAGTGGTTAGAGTGTTGGATTAGGAACTGAGAGAAACAAGTTAAAATTTCCACTCTGCTATGGATGCTCAGTGGATGTCCTTGCGCCAATCACACTCTCTCTCATTCTAACCTACCTCACAGAGGAGTTGTTGTGAGGATAAAGTAGAGAAGGGAAGAATGAAGCAGCGAACCATTTTAGGTTCCCATTTAGGAAAATGGCAGGGTATAATAAATAAAAAATAGTTTTTTCCCAAATAGTATTTTGATAGTGCACTCTTATGTTTATTTACCGAGAAGCAAGTTCCACAGAGTTCAGTGGAATTTCTCCCATATAAGTATACCCAGGACAGCAGCCATACTGGGTAATTTGAAGATTATTTAAGAATTATTATTGAAAGGTTCACTGTTGTTAAAAAGTTACAGTGGTGCATCAAGTCTTCCTGTAAACAATTAGGAGATGCTGAAAAGCTTCTGTTCATATCCCCATTGCAGGAATTGAAGTATACCATCCCTTTCAGCTACTGAGAGCTAGAGATGCAAAGTCTGGCCAACAACTGTCAAGTTCACATATAGCTCATAATGATTATACCTGCAATGTGTGCTATTTGTGGAACGATACACATGACTCTCAAGCACTCAGCCAATCCAAGCACAAAAAAGTCTGTGTCAACTGAATCAAGCCTTAGAAGAAGTTTGTGAATCAGCCCAGAATCTGTTTCACCCCCCCCCCAGTGCAATTTTTCAGTGACTTTATTCTGCTGTTTTCCAGCATAGGGACACTTGCCGTGAAGGTGCACTGTCTAGAAGTATGCAAGAAGCTGGCAGCAATAACTCCCTATTTAAACCAGCCCTTTTTTGTACCACTGGCAGAAAAAGAAAGGACGGGGAAATGAAGCACTTACAGCTTATCCTCCTCAATATCAAAGTCCAAATCTGTAAACATTGTTCCAATTGATTGAAGGCCACTTGAGGGAGATGCTGATTGCCCTGATGTACCTAGAAAGCAAAAAAGCCCATCATCAATACTGGTAAATACATCTCATAAATGGAGACCATCAACTGGTGTTTTTCTTACACATGCCAGAGTCCTGGAAGGAATCTGCTTCAGCACCAGCCCATTCCCTCACAAAGTGCAAACCACAGAAATAAACTTCTTGCCTACCAAAACAGACTTTTTTTTGTTCAATATTCTATAGAAGAAGGAAATGCTAATCATCCAGGAAGTCAATACTAGTGACTATCTATTTGATTCCTGGGTAGGAAAGGGCTCCTAAATACATAAGTCTCACTGCAGGTAAATACCATGCCATGCCCTGAAATACACACTGTGCTTCTTAATTCAAAAGAACATGAGAACCAGATCTGATTGGCTGGTAGCCCCATACCATGGCTAACACCAAACACCAGTTTTACAATGGGATCCAGTACACAGGAAAAGGAATTTGAAGCTTTGTTCTCACTTCAGATTTGTATGGACATTAATGCACTCAAGGATGTAACATGAGGTTACGGAGGTCATATCAGTGTAGAGATGATATCAAACACTGTAGTAGTCTTTTCTGTGCATTGGTAATGCATATAAATCAAATGGAAAATATCCCAGAAGACACACTTGATTTAACTGTTACTTTCTTCCAAGTTTATATTGGGAAAAACAATGTGTTGCCCTGAGTTTCTTGGGGGATGAAAATGCAGACATTGGCAGAAAAGCCTGATTTCTGCATACCAAGCCAAAAGAGAGGCTAGCTTGGTTTTGCCTCTCATCTCACCCACCCAGATGGCAACCTTGGACAAAAAATCCCCACAGGAGTCACCTGTCACTGAGGAAGGGGCAAACTTGGGCCGGTTTGTTTACAGGAGGGAGAGATGTGAGCAGACCGGTCCCTCCTTCTGTGGCAGGGATGGGGGAAATAAAGAGGTTCCCTGCAGCTCTCTGGGACCCCCCCCCTTTTCCTCCTTCATAAGCTTTTATCTCCACACCCACCTCAGAAAGGGGGGGGGGATTTGCCTGCCCTCTCCTTCACCGGAAGCGCCTGGCTCGAGCTCAGCGTCCGCATCCACCTGCCTCCGGTCTTCTCTTCTTTTCCACCTGTCACACAGTGCTCCCCCCTCCCGCCGGCTCCTCCACGTCAGTGTCAAACCTGGCCGGAAAGCACCGCCTACTGTGCTTGCCTAGTCCCGCCTCTTCAGCGGGCTGTGCTTACGAAGGTAGAGGAAGGAATCTAGTAATTCATTCATTTCTCGCGATATTACAGCTCAGGTGTGGTGGTGTAGCGGGAGAGAAAGTGGACTGGCGCGGTAACAGAGATGGAACGTGTTGACGTCATAATGACGGTAGAGTGGGCGGAGCGTAGGCGTGTCTCAGTAAACGGGCGGGGGAGGGGTGAAAATGTCAAGACGGAAAAGGTGGGGAAGCGAAGTAGGGCGGAGACACCTCCGAGCTCTACGAGAAAAATCGCAGCAAAGGCCCGCAAGCCGACAAATCAGACCACAATCCTGAGAATTGTTGTGTTGTTCTAAAACTACAATGTCATATTAAGGTTGCGATTTTTAAGAACTGACACCTTCCTGTGAGTAAACGTGCATGGGATCTAGGTCCTTACGCGCGCTTGCCTGGGAGTCGATTTTACTATATTCACTGAAGCCTACTTTTGAGCAAACGTGCGTACACTGCGTAGTAACATACTTCGAGCACCTCTAGTAAATCGAGGAGTGCCTCAAATGTCAGGCAGCGTCTAGTTGTAAAGAACCGGTACACACTCTGCGTTAAAATGGGAGTTTGTGGTTAATCGGATATGTACTTTGGCACTGTGGAAAAACATAACGGAACAAAATGACAGTTATCTATGGGTACACTTCCAGAAAGACGGAGAGGGAGATTCCCCAAACACACACACACACACACGCGAATGCTGCTTATCTTCCCCAAATTTTTTTCAGAGAAATTTTTAACTAATTGTTGCCAATAGATCAGACCAATTTTACTTTCTAATGATTTTACTGTAAAGCTTTTATTTTTGACTTGTACTGGTCATTGGCCGAATAAAGAAATTGATTGATTGCTTCTCTTCTCTTCCACATCAGTCTCCTGTTTAGTGTAGCTGATCCAGGAACAGACAGTTGGAGAGCTACTTTTATTGAATTAGGACCACAGATGTTGCTTGGAAAAGGACTGTGGGGATTATCTTCCCACACAGAATCCAGAGCAAGGGAAGTGGCCGATCAGTACTCCCTTTTTGGAGAAAGCGATTTTGCCAGTTTTGAGCCAGTTCAGTTACAGCATATCAAAACAAAGATGTGTTTTAAAGCATGCAGTTAGTTTCTGTAGAAATGATTTCCAAAACCCAATCTCATCAGTGTAGCAAATGTATGAAGTGGTGCTGCCTTAGAAAAAAGAAATGATGTGCATCAGTACACTGATAGAATACTGGAGGCTGCAACCAGAATCGAAAGCATAAAAGTAATTCCGTATGGTGGTAGGGAACAATGGAATATTTTTTTAAATTCAGTTTTAAAACTCATACTCTAAAGAGGGCTTGTTGACAACATGTTTGCAAAAGTATCAGAGAAAATATCCAAAATGAGGAAAATGTCCATCAAAGGGTGGGAATGTTTGAAATCTTTGTCATATTTCAGTTCTTTGCTTTGAGTTCAAAGTTCTTACAGATCAGGTAAGGGAGAGGAGAGACAAACAGTTGCATAGGGGCTTCCCCCCCACCCCAACTGCAGTTCTTACACAGGGTCTATGTCCCATATAGAGGCCAAAGGCCTTTCATATTGTTTATCATCTTTCTGACCTTCTCTGCTGTCTAATGGCATCACTCCTGCCTATGCTGGTGGAGTGGTTTTGGAAGAATACAGTCACTAGCCATGGTGGAGTCTCCATGTTCAGAGACAGCAAGCCTCCGGGTACCTATAATTAGGGGAAAGCCTTGGCCTCTGTGGTCCGTTTGTTGGCCCCCTAGGGCAGGGGTCCCCAACCTATTTGAGCCTGCAGGCACATTTGGAATTCTGACAAGGCATGGTGGGTACAGCAACACAAGATGGCTGCCACAGGAGGCAGAACCAGACACAAAATGATTGTCACAGCTTAACTTTAGTTACGCAGTATAGATTCTTGATACTGTGGTGGCAGCTGCTGCCAAAACAACATTTTAAAAAATCTGCACAGCCAATCAAATCTCCAGTAGTCAATCAGAAGCCTTGCTGGGCATAATCCTTCCTGGCCCCACCCACTTCCCAAAAACATTGGCTGGTGACTGAAAAGGTGTTGATGGGTATCACAGGCAGTTGGTTAGCAACTGTGTGAAGCAGGATGCTGGATTCGAGGCCCACTGGTCTGATCCAGCAGGGGTCATGTTCTTAAGAATCGTTAGGCAAAGAAATGTGCTTGTTCCTAGACACTTGGAACATTATTATCAAATAACACTGTTACTGAGGATGTAGTTCTCAGAATGCGATAGCTCAAGTTGTATAGTTGGATCCCAGTGCTTTTCAAAGGAAATGCCTTATATTTTCAGTGAATGTGACAGTGCCGTTCAGTGCTGCTGCATAGCACTGTAGGACTGATGTAAAAATATAAAAGGTCAGTCTTTCAGGTTAAAAAGTATAATGTGTTTTTTTTAAGCGGCAAGTTGTGTTGAAATGTAAACTGAATAGTTAATAAAGGGATATTTTTGGAAGAGGATGGTAGTGAATGTTCAGTACACTGTTTTTGTGATAATTACTGTCGTAATTCAGTGTGTGACACTGGGTAATTCACACTCTTGCTGTTGATTCTGACCAATGAAAGATAGAAATCGACATGGCATTTTCACATTATAAAAATCTCCATTCAAATGTATGCAGTACGTGCAGCTTTTTAACATACTGCACAATATATTTACATGGCCTTTTAATCCAGAATGAGGCACAGTTTAACAGTCAAACATTTTAATGCGTTTTTATCTTGATCAAAGTGTTCAGGGACTGAAAGAGTGCTTTGATTTCTGCAAATCAAGATTGCCTGTTATATGTCATTTCCCCCCAGCCATTATAGAATTTCTGATGAACCAAGAGTCTTCTGTGACCTGACTTTTGACACAATGGAGAGTACTACCCCTTTGTCTGGCAATGTGTATGGAACATGGCTTTGTTAACA